GGGTTTAGGGCCCCCCCGGGTGGAAAAAAACCATTTGCCCACGAAGGGGGTCAGGGTTTAGGGCCCCCCCGGGTGGAAAAAAACCATTTGCCCACGAAGGGGGTCAGGGTTTAGGGCCCCCCCCGGGTGGAAAAAAACCATTTGCCCACGAAGGGGGTCAGGGTTTAAGGCCCCCCCCCGGTGGAAAAAAACCATTTGCCCACGAAGGGGGTCAGGGTTTAGGGCCCCCCAGGTGGAAAAAAACCATTTGCCCACGAAGGGGGTCAGGGTTTAGGCCCCCCCCGGGTGGAGAAAAAACCATTTGCCCACGAAGGGGGTCAGGGTTTAGGGCCCCCCCGGGTGGAAAAAAACCATTTGCCCACGAAGAGGGTCAGGGTTTAGGGCCCAAAGGCTCGGTTTTGATCAAAAATCCAGAAAACGAGAGCCCACCCAGAACCGTCGATTTCAGTACTAAAAAATCGCATTTTGAACTGGGACCCGGGCCGATCCTGGGGTCCCCCTCATTTGGGGTGTTTTTGGAGGCACGGCCCAGGAAAAAAACCATTTGCCCACGAAGGGGGTCAGGGTTTAGCACCCAGAAAAAAAACCACATGCCCACGAAGGTCATTAGGGTTTAAATATACATAGTAAGAGAGGGTTTAGGGTTTAGGGTTTAGGGTTTAGGGTTTAGGGTTTAGGGTTTAGGGTTTAGGGTTTAGGGTTTAGGGTTTAGGGTTTAGGGTTTAGGGTTTAGGGTTTAGGGTTTAGGGTTTAGGGTTTAGGGTTTAGGGTTTAGGGTGTATGGTTTAGGGTTTAGGGTTTAGGGTTTAGGGTTTAGGGTTTAGGGTTTAGGGTTTAGGGTTTAGGGTTTAGGGTTTAGGGTTTAGGGTTTAGGTGCCTACTGCCTCTGGGATAGGCCGGATAGGCCGCGGGCACCCACGACTCCCCCCCATCCTGAGGTACCCGAAATTCTCAAACCCCGAATCCTCCGAGCCGAAACCCAAACACAAAACCCCCAACCCTGAACCCCATCCTCAACCTAAATGAGGTCATCTATATACTCCTTCCCTGAGAAGGCATTCAAAAGTAAGAATCATCATAATCATAATTTTGTTCTAGGAGGATCTGAAGCTACATGTAGAGGGAGATCACAGTGCCTAAATCCAGATTGCCCAGGAAGAAGCAGTAGTCAAGCCTCCATTCAGACCCGCGTTGGACCTGCGAGCGACCAGGTGGCCACCCGACACAGCCATCAGCTTCTCAGTATGGATCGCACCTCCGACTTAGGTTTTGGGTCGGGATGCTCCCCCTTATCTAAACCCTAAACCCTAAACCCTAAACCCTAAACCCTAAACCCTAAACCCTAAACCCTATTCGAAAACCCATTAAGGACTGCTAGTGCAAGGGGGAAAATCCCAAGGTTTGGGTTGAGGGTTTTGGGCTGAAGGTTCGCTCGACCTTTAGGGTCCTCCCCCATGTCCGGGCCAGGGTTTAGGGTTTTAGGGTTTAGGGTTTAGGGTTTAGGGTTTAGGGTTTAGGGTTTAGGGTTTGGGGTTTAGGGTTTAATGTTAACGTCGCTTTAATAAACCCCCCCCCCCCAAAAAAACTTGTTTTGGTCCCCGGGGTTTGGAGGGGTAGAAAAAAACGAGTGGGTGCCAATAATGCGGATTCTGGGGGTCTTGGGGGGGGTTAGCTGTCAGGGTCTGCTGTGCTTGGTCTCGAAGGGTTCTGCTTGCTCTCGGAGCTCGAAAAGTCTTCTCTGCAAGTAAAATTTTTGATTCCTGGCCGGCCAAATATTACTGTTGTCACCCCATTATTATTTTCACCGGACCCCCCTATATAGACTTGTTTACACACATCGGCCCGAAAACCTCCCGTAATGGAAAGTAGTCTTCGGCTGAGCCCCTCTGGCCCGGCGAATATTACAGTTGCCACCCCATTTATAGATGTGAGGTTAACATTAGGGTTTAGGGTTCAGGGTTTAGTGTTTAGGGTTTAGGGTTTAAAGGTGCACCTCCATTCAAGTGAGTCCGCGAGCCGACGATGGCAAGGCTGCCACCAGAAACGTTCATCCTGTCTCCCCAAATCGCACCTTCTTCAGCGATTAGGGTTTAGGGTTTAGGGTTTAAGGTTTAGGGATTAGGGTTTAGGGCTTAGGGTTTAGAGTTTAAGGTTACCTTCTTCAGGGGTTTAGGGCGGTTCGGGCTTTGGGGGGGGGGGGGGGGGGTTAGGGTCCTGAGGGGTTGTGGCCTAGCGGCCTTTCAGGAGTTTTGGGGTTTTGCGACGTTGTTTTTGAGGCAACCCCCGAACCCTCAACCCTAAACCCGAAACCCTAAACCCCAAACCCTAAACCCTAAACCCCAAACCCTAAACCCTAAACCCTAAACCCGAAACCCCTGGTCGGCCATGCGAAGTGCGCAGTTTGGGGCACCTGGGGCTTCCAGCTCCCACAGCGCTTGGGGCCGAGATGGGCATACCATTAGTCTATACTTTGGGATGTTTAGGGTTTAGGGTTTAGGGTTTAGGGTTTGGGGTTTAGGGTTTAGGGTTTAGGGTTTAGTTTAGGGTTTAGGGTTTAGGGGTTTAGGGGTTTAGGGTTTAGGGTTTAGGGTTTAGGGTTTAGGGTTTAGGGTTTAGGGTTTAGGGTTGCAGTCAACGACAGCTGGGGCCCAATCCCCCAAAACCCTGAACCCTTCAACCCCTCAACCCTAAACTCTAAACTTTAAGTCTTCGAACCCCAGAACTCCGACAACCACATGAATCCCCTCAGCACCCTAAACCCTAAACCTTAAACCCTAAACCCTCATGAACTCAAACCCCAAAACAATGAAAGCCCTTAACCCCCGAACCCCTCCAGCCCCCAACCAAACATGAGACCCTAAACCCTAAACCCAAAACCCGAAACCCTAAACCCTCTACCCTAACCCTAAACTCTTCAACCCAGTAAAATGGACTTCCAGCCTCCGCTTTTCCACGCATACGCTCCGTTGATTGTCAGATTGCCCCCCGAGATGTCGAGATCCACCGAGTAGACGGCACCTGCAACTCTCCAGTTTGTGGTCCCTGGTTCTTACTGTGGAACCCTAAACCCAAAACCCTAAACCCTAAACCCGACACCCCAAACCCTATTCCCTAAACCCTAAACCCTCTACGGGTACTTCCAAAAGAAGGGTTCCCGTTTTTCATACCCCGAATAGATGAAATCTCCTGTAAAGGGACCCCAAAAAGGGTACCCCAATTTCGGAAACCCCCACATATACGTATACATATACATATACAAATACATATACATGTACATATACAACTACATATACATATACATATACATATACATATACATATACATATACATATACATATACATATACATATACATATACATATACATATACATATACATATACATATACATATACATATACAATTATATGTATATATATATACATATACACATACACACATATATATATATATATATATGTGGGCCTATATATATATATCATATATGTATATACATATACATATACATTTGTAGCCAGCCTCAAGCGAGTGTCCGTGTTCGACAAACGAAGCCCCAAAACACGAAGCCTCAAACCTTTTTGCCACTAAACCCTAAACCCGAAAACCCTAAAATCCCTAGACCCCTGCCTCCCTCTGAACCGGCACGGGAGTCGTTCACAGCGACGCGTCCACCCGTCATGTTGAACGTGAAGGCAGTCATGGCACCTACAAAATTGTTTAGGGTTTAGGGTTTAGCGTTGAGGGTTTAGGGTTTAGGGTGAGTTAGGGTTTAGGGTTTAGGGGTTAGGGTGATGGGGCTTCGCGATTGGGTTAGACGAGTTTGGATGGGCTTAGGGTTTGTGAGAAGGACAGCAATGGTCAGCAACATGCATTTGGATGGTCCCCCTTATACTAACAGGCCTTAATAGGGATTATAATCGGAAGTACGATAATCCCTTAAGCAATGATCGTCTAGGGCTGAGCATCCCAATCCATGTATTCTATATGTTCTTTAACCCCTCACGAAAGTTTCTGTGTCTATAATGCTGCGGCACGGACAGAGGTGCAAGATAAACAAACGGTCGGACCTTCTAGCATTATTGCTGTTATCATAAGGAACAAGAATCTAAGGACAATTCAACATAATTACCCCAAACCCATAACCCCTTTTACCTGTAAAACGGAACTATAAGGACGGATCTTATCATGCCCCTAACTTCTTTTAAGGGTATGCCCAAGGGGTATGGGATTATAGTACCCCGACTATGGTCCCTATGAAGGACTGTTAGTATAAGGGGGAACGTCCCAAGTTATTGCTGTTCTCTTGCCATAAGGAACAAGATAAGAAAACAAGTACGCCCGGCCTCCTTCTCCCTTGGATCGAGTCTGGTGGATGGTCATAGACCCGCCAAAAACGTTGATGTGCGTCGCCCCGATCGCGCCTGCGGACAGTGCCAAGCCGGTAGAGTCCAGTCCCTAAACCCGAAAAATCCTAAGCCCGAAGCCCTAAGCCCAAAAGACGAAATCTCTCGTGCAAGGGGCCTCCCCTCTTCTCTGCATTGGTTTCCTGGGTAGTCAGGCTGCCTCCCGACACATCCACCTGCTGCGCTCGGATGGCACCTGACATCGTTTAGGGATTCGGGTTTACGGTTTAGGGCCTAGGGCTTAGGGCTTAGGGTTTAGGGTTTAGGGCTTAGGGCTTAGGGTTAGGGTTTAGGGTTTAAGGCTTAGGGTTAGGGGTTTGGGTTGAAGGCTTAAGGTTTGGGGTTTAGGGTTTAGGACTTAGAACCCAGGCTCGACTTGCAAACATGGCCACTTCCGGTTCAAGGTCTCTTGCTAGGGGACGTACATTGCCAGTACCATGAAAGGGTTATGCCGCACATATAAGATGGCACCCTTATTGACTATCCCTAAACCCTAAACCCTAAACCCTAAACCCTAAACCCTAAACCCTCAACCCTAAACCCCAACCAAGGCCCTGGAAGGGGCAACTTGGGCAACACGAAAACTTCACAAAGGGAGAAACAGAGTCTCCTTGATCCTTGAGCTTGAACCTGTTGCTTCCACCCCAAAACCCCATTTAGCCCGAAAACTCTTGAACCTCAAGCCCTAAACCCTAAACCCTAAACCCTGAACCCTAAAACCTAAACCCTAAACCCTAAACCCTGAGCCCTAAACCTTAAGTAAGCCCCTGAGCCCTCATATGCCTGGCCTCCGCCACCCTCAGCCTTCGATTCGAGGATGGTGAGGTTGCCACCGGACACTTTCATCGGAGCGTTTACGTAGACGGCGCCTGTGGCAAGTAGTTTGGGGTTTAGGGTTTAGGGTTTAGGGGTTTAGGGGTTTCGGGTTTAGGGTTTAGGGGTTTAGGGGTTTCGGGTTTCGGGTTTAGGGTTTAGGGGTTTAGGGGTTTAGGGGTTTAGGGGTTTAGGGGTTTAGGGGTTTAGGGGTTTAGGGGTTTAGGGGTTTAGGGGCTTAGGGGCTTAGGGGTTTAGGGGTTTAGGGGTTTAGGGGTCTAGGGTGTAGGGTTTAGGGTTTAGGGTGTAGGGATTAGGGCTTAAAGTTGCGGACTGGCTCAGTAACATGATAACATAGCAATGTAACAGAATATTGTATGAACATATTCATCTATATTAACAGATGAACATTTTCATATAGTAATGGTTGCATATTTACAGAATACACACATATATATGTATCAGTAATATACTCACTGAAGGCCTTGACGCCAAATCCACCCAGACCAGTCCCCCCCCCCCCCCCCCCCACCCCCCCCCCCCGCACCCACTCCCCCCAACCAACCCCCCCCCCCACCCCAACCCCCCCCCCCCCCCACCACCAAAAAACACAAACAAGACGAACAAAGGTTGAGTTGTTGCCTCCATCTTTCTGGGAAGTAGATCCAGAGAACGCCAGCTTCCCGCCCAACACGGCCATCGGCTCCTTCACGTAGATCGTGCCTGAGACTCTGCCGCGGATGGGGAGTCATGGGTGGAGCTGCCCTGAGATCCTACCCCAGTAGAGACTAGCGACAAGGACCCCAAACCCTAAACCCTAGCCCTAAACCCTAAACCCTAAACCCTAAACCCTAAACCCCAGAAAACTTACCTCAGAAGGGTCTTGCTGCCTCCGAAAGTTGCGGAGCATCCTGTGGCCTCGATTGTGGCATCCCAGTTCCGGAAGGCACCTTTCAGGGTTTTGGGGTTTAGGGCTTGGGGTTTAGGGCTTAGGGTTTAGGGTTTAGGGTTTAGGGTTTAGGGTTTAGGGTTTCGGGTTTAGGGTTTAGGGTTTAGGGTTTAGGGTTTAGGGTTTGTTGGGGTTTGGGGCTTACTCTCACAGGCACCGGGCTCGGGATGCCAGGAGGCCCCTTCCGGGATTCAAATTCGCGCCTCCAACGTAGAGGGCGCCTCCTTTGCCCGTCTGACGCCCGTCGCCGCGGGCCTTACTTGCTGTTGGTGAGTAGGGAATGGGGGAAAAAGGTACCCTATATAATCCCATAAAGGGTATATAGGGATACATGGTACCTTATTCCTTCAACGGTATCTCGGGATATAGGGTGCCTGATTCCTTAAAGGGTATATAGGGATGTAGGGTACCTGATTCCCAGTAAGGAGCTTGGCAGCGGCTGAAGTGCAAGCTTCCCCCGAGGAGCTCGGCATCCCCCTCGATGCTGAGCCCACCCCCACGGGCGTTCTCCTCCTTCAAGGGGAGCTTATAATATTGCCCCTACATTAAAACCAAACTAGCCCCTAAGCTACCCCCTAAAGAACCCCTGAGGTCATTACAAAGGTCCCTTTCAGTCCCTTGACAAAGGTACCCTAAACCCTAAACCCTAAACCCTAAACCCTAAACCCTAAACCCTAAACCCTAAACCCTAAACCCTAAACCCTGAACCCTGACTCCTGCTTCTGGCCGTTGCGGCAGTCCTCGAAGCGAAGCTTGGCAGCTGGGTGCAGGCGAAGGCTGCCATTGATGAAGATACAGGGGCTGTCCAGCGTCGCATCATACTCGTCCCAGACAGCCTTTAGAGAGAGAGTTCTTAGGATTTAGGGTTTAGGGTTTAGGGTTTAGGGTTTAGGGTTGAGGGTTGAGGGTTCAGGGTTGAGGGCTTAGGGTTCTTAAGGGAGGGGGGTTCAAGGGGGGGTATGTAACCCAAGGTTCCCTAATACTACTCCCCAAGGCTCCCTAAGCTTCCCTAAGGTTTGTTAAGGCTCCCTGGGTACCTAGCCCCATGATCCCCCCTCCCTTAAGAACCCTAAACCCTGAACCCTGAACCCTAAACCCTTAACCCTAAACCCTAAATCCTAAATCCTAAACCCCGCAGAGCCTTGATGGCTTTCACCGTCAGCCGGCCGAAGAAGCTGGCGTTCCCCCGGAATCGCACCGGGGCCAGCAAGTTCAGCTCGGCGCCTGGGTTTAGGGTTTAGGGTTTAGGGTTTAGGGTTTAGGGTTTAGGGTTTAGGGTTCAGGGTTTAGAGTTTAGGGTTTAGGGCTCAGGCACGCTTGGAAGCAGAAAATCAAAGATTCCGAAGGTCTGTTCCAAGAGATTTTGGAAGAGCCACTTCAGGGCTCCTGAAGCCCTAAAGCCCAAAAAACCTAAAACCCTACATCCCTGAAACCCTAAAACCCTACAACCCTAAACCCATCCCTGAAACCCTAAACCCGAACACCCTACATCGCTAAAACCCTGAAACCCTAAACCCTAAAACCCTGAAACCCTCAACCCTACATCCCTGAAACCCTCAACCCTACATCCCTGAAACCCGAAACCCTAAACCCTAAAACCTGAAACCCTAAACCCAAAACCCTAAACCCGAAATCCTAAAACCCTAAGCCCCTATATATACCCGAAACCCTAAACCCTAAAACCCTACAACCTAACCCGAGAACCCTAAACCCAAAAACCCTGAAACCCTAAAACCCTTAAACCCTGAAACCCTTAAACCCGTAAACCCTTAAACCCTAAACCTAACCCTAGAACCCTAGAACCCTAGAACCCTAGAACCCTAAACCCTGAAACCCTGAAACCCTGAAACCCTGAAACCCTAAACCCTAAACCCCAGACCCTAAACCCTAAACCCTACACCAACCGGGGCCATGGCTTCCCATGACCTGGCACGGGCCCTCGATGGTCACTGCCTCGACCACCTCAGGGGCTGCTTTCAGGGTTTAGGGTTTAGGGTTTAGGGTTTGGGTTTGGGGTTTGGGGTTTGGAGTTTGGTGTTTAGGGTTTAGGGTTTAGGGCTTTTTAGGGTTGAGGGGTTGAGGGGTTGAGGGGTTAAGGGAGTCCGGGCCTAGCGTCAGGGTTTGGGAGTGAGGGCTTGAAGGTTTTAGGGTTCTAAACCCCGGAAACCGCTCAAACACTAAACTCCGAAAACCCTAAATCCCTAAACCCCTCAATCCCCCAGCCCCTAAACCCTAGAGGTTTCAGGGCTTTAGGGAATATAAGGGGGCTGTATGGGTTTACGGGTTTTTTAAGGGTTGTCTTAGCCTCAGGGGCTGCTGGCTGGGAGAGTAGAAACTTCTGTCATGGAATCCCCCTTCAAGAAGGTTAACCGCAAAGAGATGCAAGTTTAGAACAACCGTGACACGGCACACGTCCCGTGCCGAAAACCCTGCGACAACTCTTGCGAGGGGGGGACAGGCTCAGGGCTCAAGGCTCAGGAATTAGAAGCCAAAAACCCTAACCCCTAACCCCTAAACCCTAAACCCTAAACCCTAAACCCTAAACCCTAAACCTAACCCTAAACCCTAACCCTAACCCCTAAACCCCGAATCCCGAACTCCCGAGCCCCGATAAGCCTCGTAGCTACCAGCGAGTTCCAAAACTCCGCCGGCGCAGCTGGGTAGGCCGACCTGCATGTGGGGAAAGGTACCACATCTACACTATCTTCATACTCTTTAAGGATAATTGGGGCATACTTCCTTCCATCATTCTCCACGACGAACCAGTGGAGTGGGGAGAAGGGTTTGGGGCTTAGGGTTGAAGGGTTCAAGGGCTTAGGGTTGCAGGGTTCTGAGATGCAAGGTTCAGGGTTCAGGGGTTTGGGGTTTAGGGTTCAAGGGTTCAGGGGTTTAGGGGGTTAAGGGGTTTAAGAGCTGTGTGCTTCTCATTCTTCAATCGGAGTCCTTACTTGATGGCCGTGAGTCTGTGTTAGGAATATATACTTTCAAACCTCCCCAACATGACGAACTCCCTTGGTTTAAGTTCTGGGGCTTAGGGTGTAGGGTTTCAGGTTCAGGGGCATTGGGTCCCTGAAGCCCCATACATAGCCCTTGAGGTCAGAGATAAGGGTTTAGGGTGTAGGGTTTAGGGGTAAGGTTCTTCGGATCCCGATAAAAAATAAAATAAAATAAACGTGTAAGGGGCCATACAAAGGGCCTATGGTTCCAACCTTAGACTTAGACTCAAGAGCTTTAGGGTTAAGGCCTAAGGGTTTAGGGTTTAGGGTTTAGGGTTTAGGGTAGAGGGTTTAGGGTGTAGGGTTTTAGCCTAAGCAGTATTCAGCGTACCCCTTGGGCATACACCTTTCAAGAAATTAAGTGGGCATGGAAAAGACCCCTTCCTCATATTCTCCTTTTAGAAGTTGCGGGTATCGGGTTTGGGGTATGTGCAGGGGTTTAGAGTTTTTAGAGTTTGGGGTTTGGGGTTAAGGGTTGAGGGTTTAGGGTTTAAAGTTAGGGTTTTTAGGGTTTAGGGTTTAGGGTTTAGGGTTTAGGGGTTTGGGGTTTAGGGTTTAGGGTTTTGGGGTTTGGGGTTTAGGGATTAGGATCCTGAGGGTTCGGGTGGTTCTGGGCGGTCCCTGAAACTTGGCTCTGGGGTTGAAGATTGGGATTTGTGGTTTTCGGTTCAGGGTCTAGGGCACCCTTACACCAAAAGGACATTCTGAACTATCCCTAAACCCTAAACCCGAACCCTAAACCCTAAACCCTGAACCCTAAACCCTAAACCCTAAACCCTAAACCCTAAACCCCCGAAACTGGCCCAACTCCACCGACCGGGACCTTGATGGCCGACTGTGGTCCAGCAGCAGGTGGCGGTGGCACCTTCGGCCGTGTAGCTTTGGGACTAGAGGACTCAGGGATTCGGGTTTAGGGTTTAGGGTTTAGGGTTGAGGGTTGAGGGTTTAGGGTTTAGGGTTTAGGGTTCGTTTTGGGGTTTAGGGTTTAGGGTTTAGGGTTTAGGGTTTAGGGTTTAGGGTTTAGGGTGAGGATTCAGGGCTTCAGGGTTTGGGGTTGAGGGTTCATGTTCATGCCCGGAAACCCCAAACTCCAAAACCCAAAACCCTGAACCCTGAACCCCAAACCCCAAACCCCCTAATGCAAGGTTGGGCTTCGGGTTTAGGGTTTAGGGTTTAGGGTTTAGGGTTTAGGGTTTAGGGTTTAGGGTTTAAGGTTTAGGGTTTAGGGTTTAGGGTCCGAAGGACCTTGTCGCTAAAAGTACGGCGGGCGCCTCAATGCACCTACGCCCTTTTCCATCCAGCAGTGGTGGCAGGCAGAGGTAGAACAGTCCACTCAACACCCCCTCTAAAAGGGGGGGTGGAGAACCCCTCAACTCCTCAACTCAACCCTAAACCCTAAACCCTAAACCCTAAACCCTAAACCCTAAACCCTAAACCCCAAACCCCAAACCCTAAACCCTAACCCTAAACCCTAAGCCCTCAACCCTAACCTAAACCCTCAACAACCCCAAGCCCTCACAATGTGGGAAGTTGGTGGCGCGCCTTGGCCAATGCACCCTGGATCCGGGCATCTTCCGCGCGCCGCTGGCCTCGCAGGTCCCCTGCACAGGAAGGGCTGTTGAGGGTTTAGGGTTTAGGGTTTAGGGTTTAGCATTTAAAGTTTAGGGTTTAGAGTTTAAGGTTTAGGGTTTGGGGTTTAGGGTTCAGGCACAGGAAGGGCAGTTGAGGGTTAACAGGGCTCAAGGGAGCTTAAGGGGGTAGAGCTCTAAAGCCTAATAAACCCTAAACCCCAAACCCTAACCCTAAACCCTAAACCCTAGACCCTAAACCCTCAAAGGCTGAAGAGGTCTAGGGCTCAACCGCCCACATGCGAAGCTCTGAGACCGCTGCGGAGCAAGAAGCTGTCGGCTGTGTCAAGCAGGAGTCTGTCTGAAACGCCTGCGCCAACATGAGTACAGGGTTGATAGAAATTGTATAGGGTCTGTGTCCGGGGTTGTGCGGGTTTTGTGCGGGTTTTGTGCGGGTTTTGACCGGTTTTTGTGCGGGTTTTGACCGGTTTTTTCTTTTGCTTTAGAGTGAATTTTGTGACGGCTTTTGCAGGCTTGGGGGGGGGGTTTCTAACCCATTTCGGTTGAGGACAAGGATTTTGGTCTCGGCGGGATGCTCCTCTGGAAGCCTGTCCGAACTGCCCGATGTCGGGGGTTTGGGGGGGGGGTTTTGGGCCGGGGGGCGGGGTGCGTGGGGGGGGGGGGGGGGGGAGTTTAGGGTTTAGGGATACGAAGGCCAAACACGTCCTCCTCTATCCGAAACTGAACTCTCAGGTGATTTTGGGGCTTTCTGAGCCGCCGGCGCTCCCCGCACAGCGGGCGCCAGTGGCAGACCAGCGCGCAGACCAGCCCGAGTCGGCAAAAGCGCGACATTCTCCGGGGACCCCCCACTTCTTTGGGGAGTCCCGGAAATCTTTCTCAGGCGGACATGGGAGAAGATACGCAAGGAGTTCACAAACCTACGAGTCGGAGCGCTGAAGCCCCCACTGCGGCTCAACAGCACAGGTGCTTCGGAGCGGGGGGGGGGGGGCAGTTTTCGGGCTTTTTTCGAGCGTTTGTGAGGGTGTAGGGGTTTCCCGATGTGGGGCTTGCGCCCGCTCTTTTTTGTTGTCTCTTGTTGTGTTTTTTGGGGGGGGATTCGTCTCGTCAGGATTGTAGTAATGTGGGACAAATTGAAGTTTGCGAAGCGGAACAGGAAGGTGTCGCAGGATGCTGGCAGGACATGGGATGCCAGAGACGAGACTCCTGATATTAGCATAATGTCCCCAAGACAACACCCAGCAGCCAAGACAAGCCCTTTGAAGCTTCGAAGACAAAAGCCGTGTCATCTGTGTCCGCCTTTCTTTGAGGTGGAGGGGGGGGGGGGCCGAGCTCGTATGACTCATGTTAGCTTCATAGTTACATGGGGGGTTGGAACTATGGAGAGCATGTGCATATATCTATATATAGATGTAGATATAGATATAGATATGTATATATATATATATCTATATATATATATATATATGTAAAGTGTGTATGGGTATACCACTTGTGTATATATAATAATAACAACAATAATAATAGTAATAATAATCATAATCATAATCATAATCATAATAATAATAATACACGTCACAAACCCCAGGCGCACATGCCGCACTGCACAAACTTTTGGCCCATGCGAGCTGATCGTCAACATGCCAGGGCTGGCCATAGACCCCCAAGTGTCCCCTGCCCGAAGCCTCGACTAGGGAATGTACCAGGTACGGGGTTTAGGGTTTAGGGTTTAGGGTTTAGGGTTTAGGGTTTAGGACTAGGAGCTGAGAGTGCGGTCGATTCCCTTAAGTCGAGGGGTCGTTCAGAGCTCTCTGGGAACTAGCCCTTGCAACCGATGATCTGGACCTCCGTTGCTCCCACACACGTGGGGTTGCCGGCGCTCGCGTGTGCCCAGAAGTCCAGGCGGAACTGCGACGTGGTCACGGGGTCGAACTGGATTTCCATCTCTTCCGAGTCGATGCGGTCGCTGAAGCCCTCCGGGCTTTGGTTGGTGACATCTTCCCAGGCGCTGCCGGTCCAGTACTTGACTCCGATCTTGCCGGCGTGGTGCCCCGCTCCCGGGACATTCCACACCTTCACGGAGGTGATGACATGGTCCCCGGCCTTGAAGGAGTACCGGAGCTGAAGAGGAGCCTTCTTGTAGTCGGGACCATGGCACTGGCCATGCCACGCACGGCTCCAGTCTCTGGCCGAGGAGGCATCGAAAGCCTGTCCCAGGCCGCGCTGGTTGTGGCCGTAAGTGTTCTGCGTCCAGACGGTGTCGCCATTGGCCAACTCCACAACGTAGCCACCACTGCCCGCACTTTCCAGGCGGTTATCGTTGGCAGCAACATTGTTCGAAATCACAGCCTCGGCTTTGCACGCGGGCGGGTCGCAGAAAGGCCCGACGGTCAGGCATTGGCCGTCGGAGAAGCCGCACTGAGCGTTGACGACTCCAGTGGCCACGTAGCGCGACTCGCAACCGGATGTCACTTTCGAGCAGAAGCTTCCTTTCCTCGGATGTCCCTTAGAACCCCCTTAAAAAAAAAGGGCTCCTAAATGATGGTTCCCTCTTGAACCCAGAAAGGGAAAATACCAAAAAGTATCCCAAGGGCTTATCCAGATCTTATCCAGCGTCTCTAACTTGGAGCCCTTACAGGCCGGGCCTGCAGCAGCTGCCACAGCCGACGTCGCGAGAATCAAGGCAAGTTGTTTCATGGCAGCTTCTCAACAGCCGGGATGCTACATTCACTGGCAACAAAATAAGCTTGAGCCAAGCTGTGGCCACGTTGCACATTGGGCTCACTATAGACAAGGTGCAGGCTCAAGACTAGGGACGGCGAACTTGAACTACCAGGAGGCATGGCAGGCTGCAACTAAGGATTGCAGGTCTGGGGCACATGGGAGTTTCTGAAAACAAGGGGTGCCCTTTTTGGGGGTCCCTTTTTAGGGGATTCTATTCTATTTGGGGTATAACACGGGTACCCCTATTTTGGGAAATCCCTGTCACTGCACTCCATGCGGTGCGGCGCCACCGTTGCCAGACTATGCGAGACAATGGAAACTTGGTTTGTCAAATGAGCGAAAGCGTGTGAATGCAAGATGGGTAGAGGTCCCTCAACCCTACAACACCACACCGTAGACCCTCAACCCTAAAACCCTAAACTCCGATTATAGACCCTAAAGCCCTATACCCGAAACCCTGAAACCCTAAACCCCAAACCCTACTAGTTTTTCTTGCACAAGCATTGCCCATGCAAGACAAAAGAAAAGACCGAACATCGAGCGCAACAAACTGCACCCAGCCATGCAATCACAAGCTTCACCAAACATGAAATGGGCTGTTCTCCGAGCTAGGGTCCCTTTTGAGGTTCTTCTTTTTTACGGATGCCATACTATATATCGGACCCCCAAAAAGAAAGAGAGACCGATTCGGGTTTCCGTGTGATCGAGTGCCTCGTCGAAGATTGCCACAAAACCCAAGCCCCTAAACCCACACCCTAAACTCTAAGCCATAAACCTTAAACCCCAAAACCCAAACCCTAAAGCCTGAAACTCAACCCACAACCCGAATCCTAGCAGCGACATCTCTCTCTTTGTCAAGCTGAGGTCTTCGAAGCACCGCAAGGCTTTGCAAGGAAGATGGGCCCAGTCAGCCAAGCCTGAATTGGAAGGAAGGGGTTTGGAGTTTAGGGTTCAGGCCTAATGTCAAGCCTCCGTTTTTGTGGTACCCATTACGCGGTCAGAAATGACAGCGTTCTGGAACATTAATCGCAACGTTCTGGAACCGGTCTTACAGGGTTTGTAGGGGTTGTAGGGCTTTTTGAGGTTTATACGGGTTATAGGGGTTTGTAGGGTTGTTAAAAAGGATTTATGGAGTTTATAGGTGTTTCCAGGGCTGAGGGGTTGATAGGGTGTATAGGGGTTTCGAGCCTTTTTGGGGTTCACGGGGGCTTATAGGAGTTTACAGGGGTTTGTAGGGGTTTATAGGGGTTATGCAGGTTTGTACGGGTTCATAGGGTTTACAGGGTTTATAGGGTCTATCGGGGTCTATGGGGGGTTTATATGTTTTGAGGGCTTAAGGTCTTTCTACTACTTGCTTCAGAGCATCCCAAAAAAAATCCTCCGTCTTAAGGGTAATGTGGGGATCATTATCTTCCATTCTTTTCATATTTTTTGGGGGGGGGCGGGCGGGGGGGGGTTCGTAAGCAAACAGTAGGGTCCACTGCGTCTCGACACATCTAGGGGTTCATCTCAATTGCAAGCAGGGTCTTGCAAACGACTTCATTGTAGTCTCGGGCCCTTGGCACTAGGTGAATCAGCAACCTTCCCCCTAAACCCTAACCCCTAACCGTACACCATACACCTTACACCCTACACCCTACACCCTAAACCCGAAACCCGAAACCCGAAACCCGAAACCCGAAACCCTAAACCCTAAACCCTAAACCCTAAACCCTAAACCCTAGCCCAGCCACACAAGCTAGCAAATCGGTTTATGGTTTAGGGCTAAGGGCTAAGGGTTCAGGGTTTAGGGTTCAGGGTTTAGGGATTAGGCTTTAGGGTTTAGGGTTTAGGGTTTAGTTTAGGGTATAGGGGCTCAGGCTTTTGAGTGCTTTAAGCAGAGGACTCCAGCTGGGAACCCGGCGCCTTCCCGCCGGCAGTTCAGGTCTTCGCGCATGTAGCACCTGGGCAAGAGAGAGGAGTTCCAACACACGCCCGCGCTAAGAGGCCGCAATCCCCATGGAGGCATACACTCGACTCTTCTACCTTTGCCTCACGCATGTGGCCCTCCCACTCTTTTTGCGACGTCGCAACAAAGATTTGAGCCGGCTGATACAGCCTTAGGGAGATATGGGCGCCCATATCAGATATCATCGAACACGGTCCTCACTTGTGCTTTAAACCCTTTGAACATTATTGTATGAACAGGTTCCCTTCTCAAAGAAAGAAGGGAAATTCGAAATGATCCCAAAGCACCACCCAGGGTCTTCGGAACTTCGCCATCGGCTTCCGTAACATCTGACATGCCTTCCGATGCTTCCGTCCGGGCATCTTCGTCCTCGGTGTCTGCGTCATCGTCGTCGTCCTGGTCTTCGACCTCCTGGTTTAGGGTTTAGGGTTGAGGGTTTGGGGTTTAGGGGTTGGGGTTCAGGGTTTCGGGTTTAGGGTGTAGGGTTTAGGGTGGGTGGAACGAGTGAAGCTGGGCGAGTGACTCTTGAGCATGCCGGACTCGAACTTTGCAGGCCGAGGCGCCATATCATCGTCCACGAACTCGAACTCTGCTTCTGCCGGCGCTGGAGCGGCACGTGCTGCGGGGAGAGGGGTGCGAATGCCGTGGGCCTCGAAGTACTTCTCCGCACGGACCTGGGAGATCAGCACATCCACCTGCGCCTGCGGAGCGAAGAATGTGGGTTGTTCGTTGCTCATGCCTTAAGGCCTTAAGGGGTGGAGACCACACGAATTTGGGCAGGAAAAGTGAAACGAACAGACACACTGGAGATGCCTAGATTTTTTGCGCCTTTCGGCTTCGCACAGAAGACCCCAAACCCACACAGAACCTTTCTTCACAGGAATGTGGCCCCTTACAGCCGGAGGCTCCTCGGACATCTGAAGTTCCTCGCCGATCATGTCGCAAACCGTCTCCACCAAGTCCATGACGTCTGCTGAAGCACTTTCGAACACGTCCGAGTCCTCGCTGCTCAAGGAGACATGTAGCCGGTGAGCAGGCGGCACGCTGAGCGAATTCTGACCTTCGATTCGCAAGTCCACGGTTGGGTATTTTCTGAGGATGTGCGCGAAGTGGCTCCCGCCAGGCCCAGTAATAAGCTCCCGCAGGTCTTGTCTGGACTTGAAAGCTGTTTCCGGAAGCCAGTACTTGCAGAAGCCTCGGGGCGCGCTGGGCGCAGCCGGCGCCACGACTTTCGGGGGCTCGGGGGTGATCGGCGTCGGGTGCGGTGGGGCAACGGCCGGGATGGTAGGGGTTGGCACCATCGGAACATAGGGCCCTTCGGGCCGCGAGGTCCCTGCCTTGAGGGGCAGCCACTCCACGAAGAAGCCGCGGAAGGGTGGGGACTTCTGGGACTCCGTGGGCTTGCCGCCCATGCGCCCCAGCTCCGCCAGCATCGTGTGCACCTTCTCCTTCCCGTAGGGCAGCTTCAGGCCACGGCCCATGGACTCCGAAAACCAGGCCCAGGGGTAGAGCAGGTAGAAGAGGAGCTGCTCATCCTCCACCTGCCTCCTGACCACGCCCCGGAGCCTTGAGAGCACCTCGAGGATGATGATCTTCGGCATGGAGGACAGCCCCGTCCTCTCCATGACCGTGGCGAAGTGCTCCACCGCCGCAGCACTCAGGCGCACACCCTGCCCCGATTGGAGGGCGATGGAGCTTCCGTCGCCCTCTCCGGCAGTCAGGGACGACCATAAGCCGGTTGGGCGGAGGTCATGCTCCTCGAACCAGTACGGGCTCGGATAGCTCCAGTCCACCATCATCCGTGTGAACTCAGCAGCCTCGGGTTTTAACACACTACAACCTGAAGGCTTCCCATGACAACAACGACAAAAACACGCTTCTCGCAGTATTGGTAGGGGCTTTTGCCACATGTGCTTGGAGGTTCATGGCACTTAGTCACTAGTTATAACTGTACTTATAACCCACTTATAAGCCCCTTAAGTGCCCGAATATGGTCCTAAGTACAGTTATGAGTACAGTTATAATTAGTTACTAAGTACCATGAACCTCCACGTGCTCTAAGGCTCTCGCGACAAGCTCCGCCTGCTCTGGAGCATCGTCAGGCAGAGGCGGCTCGGCAGGCGTCACCTGAAAGGCAGGAGCTGAAGACTCTGGGGGAGACTCCACAACCCCTGAATGAAGGAATATGCCTGGAATTATAATAGGAACGCCAATATGATTTAAGGAATACTTAAGGCATCTTCCTCATTTAAGGGGTTTGGGAGTCTCTGGCTACGTGTCCTACTTGATCCATGTTGGGGGTGACGTGATCACAGCCATGATGGTCCGGTCTAGGCCTTTCGGCCTTGAGCCCGCTTCTCAGAGCCCCCCCGCGCCTGCAAAGTCGTTCGCCACTGCGTGTCTGAGTCCAGCTCCAGGGGCAGCTTGGCTTGCTTGAGCCAGAGCAGCATGTCGTTCAAGGTTTGGCCATCCTCCTCCGGGAAGCGGAACTTCAGAGGCTCTCCGTTCTCCGGCCCCATGCCCCGGCCCAGCATGAAGCCGAAGGGATGCGCATCCGGGATGCGGGGATTGTCCAAGGCCGGCCCAATCTCCCCTCTTTCCGCGAGCTCCGCATCCAGCTCGGCGACGATCTCCTTGATGATCCGCCTTACCGACTTGCCCTGCTGGGGCACTTCACCCTTGACCGAGATGTGCAACCTGCAGTCGGTAGGGTCGGTCAAGTCCATGTCCCTGCCGCTGACACCCAAGCCACGAAAGAAGACGCGTGCCCCGCTCTCACTCTCCATCCTGCGGTGGTGCATGCCTCCCCTTCCGATGACGCGACTAAGGACGTTGGAGCCATAGAGGCCCTTGGAGAGAAGCGAGTCCAAGAAGATCTTCTCCTGCCAGGGGTACTTGTTCTCCGGCAGGGGCGGCGGGGCATCCTTGGGTAGCTTCGGAGCCACGTAGGGCTTCGGGGCCGGCGTAGAGGGCGGAGGGGGGATTGGGAGCTCCACCGGCTGTTTTGTGGGCGGCTTCATGTCGAGGATGGAGAGCGCGACGTCCTGGATCTCGACCGGGAAGAGGGTGTCGTGGTCCTTGAGCTGCTTCACCAAGTCTTGCACCTCCTTGTTGTGCTTTGCCAGGTCGATATCCGCGAAGCCTTCCAGCTTGATCATGAGCTGCTCCAAGAGGGCCAGCACAGTCCGCTGCTCTTGAAACGGCTTCGACTTGCTCCAATCGCTGAAGCGGCGGCAGACCTTCTTCATCCCGGGATCTGCAGTGTCGAGGTTCAGCACACCCGACAGATACGCCTCTCGCAGCTTCTTCCGAGACAGGCGCTGTGGTTGCGAGTAGTCCGGCGGCTCAGCATCGGACTGCACATCGGCATCGAGGTCCAGCTCCTCCTCAGGCACATCGCCCTCCGAGTCTGAGGATGCAGGCTCCCGATTCTCGAAGCCCTGGCGAGCCGCGAGGACCATGCCAGGGTACCAGGTAGCCCGGCCCGTGGAGCGGAACTGGGGCATCGACAGGACGTGCATGGCAAACGCAGCATTGGCCCGAATGCCTGTGAGGACCTTGGACAGGAGGGGCCCCAGCTTCCTGTTGGCCGTCTCCAGTTCCTGGGCGGTCGGTGCTGTGACGATCACACATGCATTTGGCGCCGCTTCACTGCAGCCTTGGGCAGCTTCGTTGCCACCTGTCGTCTGGATCACCACCACGGTGTCCAGCGGCACATCTGTGCCCCAGTTGAGGGTCAGAATGCCAAGCCAGAGCTTGTCAGCAAGCTCTCGCCAGAAGTCTGGCAGCCGTCCTTGAACATCCGGCCCACACAGGTTGTGATGTGCGGAATGAGAATGCATGGGTACATAGCGCCGTGCCGTCCAGCAGCCCCTCCTGTACTCCACGCCCACTTCTTTTTTGACAGGCTTCTCCCCATCAAGCAAGATGTAGGCATTTTCCTCGGAGCTCCACGGAAGGTACCAGCGATCTCTTGCGCCCTCATCATCTGAGTCCATGACGTCCATGCACTCGCGCACAGCCCGCCCCAAAGAGTCAGAGATGTGAATCACCGCATTGTCGAAGAGCTTCCTGCCCTGAGCCCCTCCCCCGTCCCCCGTGACGATCAGGGCATCAGAGGAGTCTTTCGGCCCCTTGAGCTCCGTTCCCGGGCACATGCTGAGGAGCCTCTTCCAGCGGCTGTCCTCCGAGCCGTAGAGCTTCTCCGTGAACTTCTCCGTCTGCCCGGAGCTCAGGCCCTGCAACTCGAAGCGGTAGCTCAAGGTGCAGGGGGGCTGCCGCGGGCAGGCTTCCAGCCACGTGCACACGCGGTTGGCCTCCTTCTCATCGAAGCCCGCGCCGTGCAGCACGGCGATCTCAAGGAGGCGCCTCAGCATCTCACCCAGCGCCGCCTCGGCGACCGGAGGGAGGTCCAAGTCATCCACCTTTGCCAGCTCCGTGCTTCCGGCTTTTTGCTCCTCCTTGCCATCCTTGCCATCCGGCTCCTCCTGGCCTTCCTTGGCCTCCCTGTCCCCGTCGCCCTCCGGGGCCTTGCGGTCTTTGCCCTCCTTGCCCTCCTCCTCGGCCTTCTTCTCCTTCTTCTTGTTGCTGGGAAGCTTCGGCTCGATGTTGTACTTGTGACACACGGCCAGGTAGAGGGTCTTCTCCTTGCCCTTGTACTTGCCAAGCAGGTCGTCGAGCTCCCCGAGCTTCTCCTTGTTGTGCTCGGCATAGATCTCGGCAATGAGCTGCTTGTACTTCCTTACTTCTCCAAGAACCAAGGGTAAAACAACAGGTTAAACTTCAATATTCCTACTAAAAAAGGAAACCCATAAACCCTAAACCCTAAACCCTAAACCCTCAACTAAAGGCGAAGTGAGCCTCTCGAAGGTGGTCTTGGCCTCCTCCTTCTTGGACGTCTTCGGCTCCACGTGGTACTTCTCGCAGATGCCTTTGTAGACAAGCTCCTCGCGGCCCTTGTACTTCTGGAGCAGGCCTGGGTGTTGCTTTACAGCTCTTTGAAAATTATTTCTGGATAGGTTCCCCTTAAAAGGGAAAGAAGGGAAATTTTAAAAATTATCCCACAGCAATACCCAGAGGCTGTCCAGATCCCCAAGCTTGGACGGGTTGTGCTCCTTGTAGATCTCCGTGATGAGCTCCCGGTACTTCTTGACCTTCTTGTCATCGCCCGCAGGCTTCTCGGCTTTGGCCGCCTTGTCGAGGTCGGGAGACACCCGGTACTTCTCGCAAATGCACAAGTACAACGTCCTCTCCCGGCCCTTGTACTTGGCCATGAGTGCCTCAATGTCCCCTAACTTGGTTGGGTTGTGGTCCTTGTAAAGCTGCACTATCAACCCTCGCCAGTGCTCTGGGCGGGCATCGCCCAAACCCGGGAGTGCCAGTGTGGGACCGCTTTGCTTCGAACCCTTGGCGCCACAGGCGCCCAGGCTTGCGAACAGCTTGGCCGATGTCCGCTTTGGCTGCCCATTTCTCTGCCAGCAGCCCTTCAAAATCCTGACAAAGAGCTGCCGAGCCTCTGCCCCCTTGTGCCGCGCCAGTGCGGCAACTTGTTGGAGCAAGTCGTACTGCTCGTCGCTACCATCGCTATCCATGAGCCAAACCAGGCAAAGGGCATGTGTCATCAGGAGCTCCATGGGCAGGAAGAGCGGTAATTGGCCTCCCTGCAGCTTGAGGCCAAGTGCCTGTCGCTAAAGCAATGAAAACCTAAGCCTAAACCCTATACACCCCATAAAAGCTCTGCGGAATCCTACTGTCGGGGCCCGATTGGGTGGGTGCACGATGGTGCCTCCTCCAGACTCTTTGCTTTTGAAGCCTTGTCTTCGGAAACTTGCTCCGCATGCTTGCTGAGGTAGTCCCGCACCCCCTGGGCTAGGTCTCGCAGGCGGTACTTCTTCTCGGAGGCAAAGCGCTGCATGTCAGATGCCTGTCTGGACCCAGGTGGGTTGGGCCGGTGGAATGGTATGGGCCCCTTGCCCGGGAAGCCCTTCATGGGCATGCCCTTCCCCAGCATCGGGAAGCCTTTGGAACCCCATGGAGGGGGCCCCGGGCATGGCCCAGGATGCCCGAAAGGAGGCGGATGCATGGGGGGAGGCATACCTTTGCCGAAGGGAGGCATGCCCTTCCCCGGCATGGGTGGCGGCATGCCCTTTCCCTTGCCAGGCCCCAGGTGAGGTGGGAAAGGCATGCCGGGAGGCATCATCCCGGGGGGCATCATCCCAGGCATCGGCGGCAACATGCCCGGTGGAGGCATCATCCCAGGCGGCATGGAGAGGGGGTCGTCGTTCTTGTCCGAGTCGGAACTGCGCTTTCTGCCATCACTTGATCCCCTCTTTCGCTTCTTCTTGTCCTTCTTCTTTTCTTTCTTGACCTTCTCCTCGCCGTCCTTCTTCTTCCTCTTCCGTCCACCTTCCTCTTTAACATCGTGGCCGGCTTTTGCTCTGGCAGCGCGCTTCAAGTCAGCCAGCTCTGAGCCGATGTTCTCATCGGGCTCCCAGGACGTTTCGCTGTAGCCTTTCCACTTCACGAGGTACAGGTCTTTGCCGTCAGCATGCCTCCGGGAACAAGATCCCCTCTCCCTTGAACAGCCCCACACTTCACGCCGCCCGGACATTCCGGAAAGGACCTAATCCCTTTGCGTTTGTTGACGTGGATTCCTTCATGGAGGAATGAACATACCTGCTGGCTCAGAACCCTTACACACTGAAAAACTCAACTGCCTGGCTCTGAGTAGGGAATGCTACCCTACATAGTCCCTTAAAGGGGTATTATATACATATACATATACATATACATATACATATACATATACATATACATATACATATACATATATGCATATGCATATACATATACATATACATATGCATATACATATACATATACAGATACATATACATATACATATACATATACATATACATATACATATACATAACCCCTGAAAGGGTAAGGGTATATACACATACAATCCCTTGAAGGGGTCATATATAGGGGACCCTAGAATTCCCTCATTCCCTACGCAGGCTCCCGGCCTAAAGTCCAAGAGGTCCTCAACCTCAAAAACCCCCTCGTCGCCATCCATGGAGGGCAGCTAAGGGGGCTGAACCCCGAAAAAACCCAAAAACCCTAAGCCGTGAAATCCTCAACCCGAAGCCCTAGAAACTCTGAAAGCTGAGTGTCTGGTATGCAACTCTCGACCTCTCAAAGAAAAAGAAGGCTGCAGCATGTTCACTCTGCGTTTCTTATGCGTAGACGTTCTCTGCGGGAATCCCTGTATGGATGCGCCCCTACCACTGGAGCCATGCTTCGTCAAGAAAGAGTTGCAAAGGCAAGGCAGCACATCGTGCAAAGGTCACGCACACTGGGAGCACTCTACTTCGAGGTTCATGGGTACTTATAACCCCAAAAGACCGACTTATAACCTGTTAGAGGATAAAAACCGTTATAGCTGGGGTTATAAGTACGCTGAACCTCCAAGTATCAAGGTTGCAACAGGAAAGCTCGAGGCGAATGCTGAGGGCGCTGCCCCCAGCCGGGCACCTCATGCAGCACAGCGCGGAAAGGGGTTTAGGGTTTAGAGTTTAGGGTTTAGGGTTTAGGGTTTAAGGTTTAGGGTTTAGGGTTTAAGGTGTAGGGTTTAGGGTTCAGGGTTTAGGGCCATTTCAAAGGCCGCAATCCCTTTTCTGGGCGACTCATGCCTAAAACTATCCATAAAGGTGGACTAATCCTCATAACCCTAAACCCCAAGCCCTCAACCCTACACCCTACACCCTGAACCCGAAAGCCTCAACCCTGAACCCCAAACCAAACAAGCAACCCAAAGCGATCATTTCACCCCCACCCAGAGACTCCAAAACCCGTGATTTAAGGAAAAAACCTGCAATTATAATGGGAACCTAGACTCCAAAACCCTTATTTAAGGAATGTACCTGAAAATATAATAGGAACCCCAATAAGATTTAAGGTACATTCCTTAATTTAGGGGTATTGGAGTCTCTGGGCAACGGATGCCTGCTGCACTCGGCCAACTGCGGTTTTAGGGGCTGGGGTTTGGGGTTTGGGGTTTGGGGTTTCGGGCTTTGGAGTTTGCGTTTTGCGGTTTTGCGGTTGAGGGTTTAGGGTTCTGGGTTCTGGCTGCTCGGGGTTCGGGAAGAGAGTCCCTAAACCCTCGAGCATGAGCTGGAACCATTGAACAAAGCAGGCCTTTTCTCAAGCCAAAACCTTTTGAGTTTAGCGTGTTCAGGGTTTGGAATTAGGGTGTAAAGCTCTAGGGAAAGTGTAAACACCATACCAGCTCTTCAACTTGCCCAATCTGCGCCCGCCTCTAGCTCCCACTGCATCGCCCCCCAAACGGGCTGCCCCCAACGGGCTGCCATTGTCACGGCAGCAGCTACGGCCAAGGTGTAAGAGTATAGAAGCTTTCGAGTTTCCAACTACATTGGGTACCCTAAACTCCTAAACTCCTAAACTCCTAAACTCCTAAACTCCTAAACTCCTAAACTCCTAAACTCCTAAACTCCTAAACTCCTAAACTCCTAAACTCCTAAACTCCTAAACTCCTAAACGCCTAAACTCCTAAACTCCTAAACTCCTAAACTCCTAAACTCCTAAACTCCTAAACTCCTAAACTCCTAAACTCCTAAACTCCTAAACTCCTAAACTCCTAAACTCCTAAACTCCTAAACTCCTAAACTCCTAAACTCCTAAACCCTAAACCCTAAACCCTAAACCCTAAACCCGGCTTAAGGTTGCCCTATGTTGCACTGCTGGCACACGCATTCCTTACACTCGAACACGATGGCCCGGCCATGCCACAACGTCCAGCCGTGGATTTGGGATTTAGGGTTTAAGGTTTAGGGTTTAGGGTTTAGGGTTTAGGGTTTAGGGTTCTTGCAAATCCAAGACCTATCACTGCTCGCAAACTCTTGAAATTTCGGTGCTCTTGAGCAAGATCGGACGCTAATTGCTGTAGTGTAGATCTGGGACTTGCTGTAGCTGTAGCTGCGAGCCCTAACCGGCTAAAGCACGTTTGGGATCACATCACTACACGTGTTCCCCTACAAGCAAAACGGGCGCGCGAAATGGTGCAAATGCAGCTATGTGCTTTTTGCAACAAGACAAGGCGTCTGACCTCAAATCTAGAAATCTACCAATGCCCCAAAACGACAAACCTTGCCAAGGCGAAAGCACATGGATCACAAGCAAATAAGCATACTGACGACGCACCTGGCGGTTTGTCCGGGAAGTTGACACTTCAATCAAGACGACCCGGCGGAACGCAGAAGCTACAAGCAAGTCGGCGAAGACCCGAGCAGCGAAAGGCAAGACACTCCCAGACCCGTCCTAGAGCACCCCACCATGTTCGAACCACAAGAGTTGAGAGTCAGGCATCTGAAATCATATATGCAAAAATGGCTCCCGGCACCAAAAAGTCGCAGATGTCGCGCTGTGAAGGAAACGTTGTTTGGGAAGACTGCTCTGTGTCATAACACAACAAACATTGCAGCTTTATACACCGTGTGCTGGAGAACGTGCGCTTTGTTCTTCTCCGCGGGGTGCATGCAAGCTCGTCGCTCATCTCTTTGAGAATCAAAGCTATGTCCCAGAAGTGGGACTCCGCTGTGTCGCTTGGTGTACCACAGCTTCCTCGCAGTCTCAATGGCCACTGTGGTGTCTCTCGCCATCTCACACCGTGGCTCCGCTGAGGCAGCCTCAGAAAGTGCACGTATAGCTGTGCAATCTAGGCGAACGCTGGGAGCCAACGTTCTCGTCAGAGCCGGGTGAAAGTGTGAGAGAAATCCGAGAGTGCAAGGCCGATGGTAAAGAGTTCCACTCCGAGATACTGGTGCGCTGCCACTGCTCGGGCCACGTTGACGCCGAGCGAGCCCGCTCAAGATCACCTGGAAACTGCCCGAGGCATGCATCTTCAGAAAAGCGGCACAGGCACTGCCGTGTAAGTGAAAGAAACGGGGCGGCGCTTCTAAAATGGAGCTATTCAATCGTATCACTTACAGGAGTCATCATCCCTCGCGGTTGTAATGTGAAGCCTTAACCCCAACAGAAGAATCCAAAGTTAAAAATGTCATGTGGTCTTGAAGACAACGATAACCTTCCAAGCACAGCATCGCAATGGAAGCGCTCCACTAATAACAGCACGAGTCCGGCTTGAAAAGTGACAAAAAAACGTGCTTCACGGCTCCACTTGCAGGTTTTGGTTAAAACTTCAGAATTGGTTCCAGCTTCCAAGAAAAAGGTTTCCCAGAGTGCTTCGCACCCCGTTTTGCCGTTGGGCAAAATCTGATCCCCAGTTATTGACAATTCTTTAACGCGCTGGAAGGCGGGTGCACGGTAGTTCTTGAGCTCCAAAGCCTCGACGCTAAAGAGTGTCAGCGCCATTTTTTGGAAAACCGTCTCCAGACACTTTGACAGACTTGCAGAAAAAATGAACTAAAGCATGCTCAACTTTGATCGAGTGTCCTCAACACCATGGAAAAAGCCCAAATTTTGAACTAAAATGTGCTTCAAGACCACTTTAAAGAAACTCAAAACCTTTCTTTGGTAAAAGAAGGGTCACGGTCACTTTCAGGCACCGGTGCTTCTCTCGCTCGACGGTTTCTCAGGTACTCTTGCCACGCATCTACTTGTCCTGCAGCTACTCCCATCCATCACCCCTTTCCAACAACCCCGGCGAGGACTCTAGTGGGTTCTGCATACTGGCCAAGGCGGAGATAGCGAGCCAAGCTCCGCTACCATGTAAAGCTTCTTAACCTAAAGACACAGACAAGCAGACTGCCGCGACTGTCGCTTTTGGCACACTCAGCAAAGAAGACAGGTATAAGCTGCGTGCCTCTTGTGTTCTTTCTCTTCTTCAGCTCGTCTTGAGCCAAAGTTAAAAGCTAGTCGGCAACCGCCTGACTTTTCTAAGCACATGCCAAAAACAGCTTTATCAAGCTGCAGCACTGCTTCCACGCTTGCAAATGCACGTGTGCATTTGCTACTTCTTGTATACTGGACAAAACTCTCTTCAAACGTGTCGCAAAACCATCGTAGCGTAAAGAAAACATGCAAAAACTGCTTTACGCTTCACGCTGCTGCCGAGCACATGCTACTAGGTTCACATGCTCACATGTCCTCGCCACAGCTCACTGCACATGAAAATGGTTGAAGACATCCCACGGTTTACTAGAGTTGGTGTAATCACATACATAGCACAGAAAAACCACGCCAACGCATATGGCCCGGCATAGTGTTTCTGCAAAACGAAGATCCCAATGAAGATACAAGACTGTGCCTCCAGATGTTCATCTTCCGTCGGACCAGGTCATCCGCAGTAGTTGTTGCAGGGCACGCGCTCTTCCCGCACCATGGCCCTAACCCCAAAGCTAAGCCTCGCACCCCCTAAAAAAACATAAAGCTTTGTTTTTTCCTTTGCGGTTTGTCGCCAAAGTGTCCCAGGTTCAGCAGATGCCATAGGTCCCAGGTTCCCATTGCAGCACAGACCGCTGGGTCTTGTGCCAGGCGTTCCAACTTCTGAATGCGCAAGTGACCTTTAAAGGGATCCGCCCCATGCTGGCACTGTAAGAGTTGATTTACCTGCTTGGCTTCTCGCAAGAAGCTTCTTGCAAGTCCAAGAAAACCTCTGTGCAAGGATTTTCGTTTAGTGCAGCTGCCTTTGCGTGGTGGTCTTGCAAGAAGCCTCTTGCGCGGCTCCATCCTCTTCCACAAGGTGGTGATCCTGCCAGAAGCCTCTTGCGCAACTCTTGCACAGCTCCATCTTCTTCCTTGTCATTCTTGCGTTCCATTAAGACTGCCTTGCAAGAAGCCTCTTGCACGGATCAACCTGTTTTTTGCCCGACATCTGTTGATTCTACACCCTTTCACTCTTTCCACTTCAACTTCTTGCTCTTTCTTTGGCTGCACCTTTACGGACAATACTGTTTCTGCTGGAGAAGTGCCTGGAACACCAGCAGGGACAATCCTGTTCCTGCTGTGCCTGGTAGGCTCAAGAGAGAGCAGAGAGCAAACAACTGGAAAATCGCAAACCCTAAACCTCTGGGATCTGGAAGCAGCAGGGAAAGAAAT